GGCGGCAAGGAGAAAAAAAAGTTTTTTTTTTCATCGGTCGCACCGCGCCGTGCCGTGCCGCTGCTGGGAAAAAAAAAAACAAAAAGAAAACCATGGTCGGGCCACGGCCGGGGTTTGGCCTATACATCTGAGCCATGGTCAATCTGGGGTGTGGCCGAGACATCTCGGCCGTGGCCAATGTGGGTTGTGGCTGAGACATCTTGGCCGTGGCCAATCTGGGGTGTGGCCGAGACATCTCGGCCGTGGCCAATCTGGGGTGTGGCCAAGACATCTCGTCTGTGGCCAATCTGGGGTGTGGCCGAGACATCTCGGCCGTGGCCCGACCATGGGGCCGGTACACCTTTTTTTTTCCTTTTTTTTTCTTTTTTTTCTTTTTCTTTCTTTTTTTTTCTTTTTTTTCTTTTTTTTTCTTTTTTTTTCTTTTCTTTCTTTTTTTCTTTTTTTTTTTTTTTTTTTTTTTTTTTTTTTTTTCTTCCAGCCCCGGCACGGCGCGGGGCAGTGCGACCGACCGAAAAAAAACAAACAAAAAAAACAAACTTTTTTTCTCCTCGCAGCTGCGGCGCGGTGCGACCGAGCGGAAAAAAAAAAAAAGAAAAAAAAAAGAGACACAACCGCCTTAATGAAACCTCCGCCCTGACACCACTGCCGGCCTGAGTTACGAACGCCTTTCCGAACTCAGGCCCTGACACAGTCGCCGAAGGCCTGTTTTTCGTGCCTTTAGGAACTCAAAACATGCCGCGTTCGCCATTGTTTCAATAAAATAAGATGACGAAACATTGGGGGAAAAAAAAAAAAAGCTGTATGACATGCAAGACAACAACTTTTGCCTGAGCTCCTGCCAAAACTTGGAACCAAAAGCAAGAAGCAAATGAAAAAGACTATTGCTATGATCCTGGTCAATTTCGAAGTACACATTCATCAGATAGTACAATCATACTACAATGCCGCCCAATTGCAAAGAGAAATGAATGAACTTGAGAGGAGAGAGTGGGTAAGAAGAAGAAGAAAAAAAAAAAAAGAAGAAGATGGTGTACACCAGCATAGACAAATGATAATGCTCTTTTTCTTCACCAATCACTCTCCTCCTCCTTTACTCCTCCTCTCTTACTCACACAAGAAATAATAGTACAATCATGTTGAATGGCTGATCCAGAATCAATGTCCGAATCCCTCTTCTACTGCAGGTATCACTTGAGGTCCACCATAGCCATGGCTGCCTCTCTCCTTCTTCCTCCTATGCCGAGGCTATGGCGGACTACCGGGGCATGACCCGGCTCTGCAAAGGACAACAAGCAGCAGCTATGGCTGCTCTAGATCAGGCCTCCATGCCTGACTCTGCCTCGAAGCTTCTTGGTGTAGCTCTGCCCCAACGGGGGCCTTCCAGCTGCAGCACCCACCAAGGTGATGAAGATGGCTGCCACCATAGCGAGGTAAGCACCTCTGGCGCTCCTCCCTAGCTCTGGGCTTCTTCCTCCTCCATGTCCTTGCTCTTTCCCCGGCAGCGCTGCTGAATGCCAGCGCTGCTCCAGCCAGCGCTGCAACCAGTGTGTCGCCAAAATTGCACACCGACAATGAGGCTGGGCTCTTCGCCCGGCCTGGAGATATAGCGCCCGGCTTTCCTCTTGGGCGGTGACTTCCAGGCCGCTCGGCCTTCCGAGCAACCGGTACCTCCTCCCTTTCGGAGGGAAACATCATTGCAGACTCTGACATTGCCCGTACAGGCCCTAGACTCAGACTGGTTGGACTGGCACCCGCCTAGACCTAGCCTACAACTACTGGGCCACAAAAAAGTCCAACTTTTGTCTTCTTCTGATCGTCCTCGAGTACCCGGCACATCTACCTCTTCAGGGTGTGGTACCGGCCTACCTGCTACTTGAGTGTTTCCCTGCTGCTTCAAGTGTTGTGGGCCTCTTCCCCCGCCACTGGAGTGTTTTCTCCGCTGCAATCCTCAATGTCACAGCCACAGGTAAGTACTGGCCCTGAGGGCCCAACGAAAGAACAAGTGCCCTTGCGGGTCACACACAACTCAAGCTAACAAGCACTCAGACAGACATGCAGACCAGCAAGCGTGCACACACACAGACTAACAGAACTTAGTAGCAAGCGGAAAACTCAGCAAGGCATTCAGTCCATGAGCAAAACTCAGAAATCAGCTGTGTGTCTTAGTCCGTGTTTGGTCGGGTCATCACAGGATAGAAATATATATATTTTTTCATGGCAGGGGGAAGAGACATAATTCCGTTTCTTGATTCACTTAGTATTTTTAGTATATATATTACCAACTAATCCTAATTGTTTATAAAAAAAGCGTTTAGAAGACAACAATTATGAGATTATCATTCATATTTCTTTATTTTTATCTATATATTTATATAGTATGTATTCAAAGATTTTTAGTGATTAGGCAAGTCGAGTTTCTCATTTTACACTTTGCTTTATATTTAGATTATTTAATTCAATTTATGATTCATATGATATGATGAAATTCATCTTATTTCATTTTTCTATTCTTGTTATTCTCAAATAGAATCTAATAGGTCCTGTGCTCTAGAAATCCTTGGAGAAATACGGGAAAAATACTGCTGTATTAGATTGCGAGACAAAATACTGTTTACTTGGGTCGGACTCCTCTCAAACTTCATAACCAAAATTAATCTGAGAAAAAGAAAAAGAAAAGTCGTACCCCGAAACTCGTTGTATGAAGCACCCTAAACTCCTTGTATGAAGCACATAGTAGGAATGTTGAAAATACAACGTACACCCTGCGTTTTATTTGTGTTTCTTTACGTTCTTTTTGCATTTTATTTGCATTTTATTTGCGTTTTATTTGTGCTTTATTTGCATTTTATTTGCATTTTATTTGTGTTTTATTTGTGTTTTATTTGCGTTTTATTTGCCTGCAACGTACGCACATAATGCTATGGCATACAGAACTGCCGGTTCTGTGTCCCTGTTTAGTGACACTTCAACTGGCCATCCATTTTATGTCCCATACAACACAAAATCTGCAGTTTTGTGTCCCTCCCAGTCTGAGTCAGTGGAAGGGCTACATTGCAAATGCCATTAAATTTTGCAGAAATCCAAGTGCCAGTGACCCCAGTCTGACCCAGTCCTCCTCAATTCATTGCTTTTTAACACTTCCTCAATAATTAGAAGTCTCTCTCTCTCTCTCTCTCTCTCTCTCTCTCTCTCTCTCTCTCTCTCTCTCTCTCTCTCTCTCTCT